CAAAACACGTCGATTTGGTGGTCCAGTACTTAGTCAGTCAAACATAGAAAATGAGATAAACATTAGTACAGAGAGTTGGACTCCGAGAGGGACAGCATTTACAGCCATTCCCTTAAAGTTATCGACAAAAAATTGCTACTCATATATGCGTATAATTAAGCTTTAAATGAATACTTGAATCAATGACACAAAAACTTGTGATGACTACATCTATAATAGTCCTAAAATGAAAACATCAGTCCTATGATTGAGACGGGAAAGGGATTTAGACAATTGTCAATTGAATTACATATAATACCTTCTCATCGATTCATATAAGCGTTATCTATTTATGCCAAACACCTCTCACTTTATTTGTAATAATTATTTTATAATATTTGTATTATTATTACGACATTACATTATGAAATTGCTTTACTTTATATTTGCAATACTATAAACAATAGTCTATAGAATTTATAATAAATAAAATTAATAACTACAATAAAATTGTGTTTACTGTAAGCTATGTTAAGTTAGTTACATTTATGAAAACTTTTACTAATATTTTAATTAATAATGTAAATTGAATAATTTCAGTTACTTGTTAGTAAAAAATTATATAATTAACTAAACTTTAATTAAATTTCTATGTTCATTATGGTTTTATAGTTAATTATTTATTATAATATAATTGTTTGATTATTATATAAGCAAAGTTATTGTAATTTTGTATTAAGTTAAATAAATAAATTATTATAATTTATATAAAAATGTTTTATTTAAATATTTTTAAAAAAAACATTAATTAATAAAATAAAATTAAATTAATAATTTTATGTTTAAATATAATAAAAATTATATATTTAGAAAAACATTGAAAGTGCTAAAAATTATTTTACATTATGTATTGTTTGCTATACCCACACATTTACTATTTTCTATAGTTCATGCAAATTATTTTTATAATATTTAATTTAAAGATTATAAATGATTGTAAAATTTTATTATTATTTATTTTTAAATCTAAATATAGTGTTATTTATTCAAAACGTGCTATTATAATATAAATTTATTAACATTATTATTAAACTAAAAATTTATGTTAATTTACATGATTATATTTAGTTAAAATTTTATTTCAGTATTTTAGCATACAATAAACAATTATCATTTATAATAAATAAAAAATTTAATGTCATTAACCCCTTTTTATAATTATTTAAATATTTAATTAAATTTTAATAAAATAAAACCAAAAGTTAACTTTTTATATTTTTGTGATATTTATGAGTTTTTTTATATGAAATTTATGAGAATTATGACTATCTATTAAAACTGTTTATTTTCTTATTTAAATTATTAATATATGAGTATGGTTAAATTATTATTGACTAAGTTAAAAATAAGCAAATGTAATAAATTTTTGAAAGTGATTTTACATTAATAATTTTAAACAATAACCTCTAAATAAAACTGACAAATATATAATAATTAGCAATAATTTCTACTTAAGAGTTCACAAGTTTATTCAAAAATATTAATAATATGAATAAAAATTGTTTTTATAGATAATTATAATTTATAAATGAATTTTTGACTAAATTTGACTAAATATTCTAAAAGTATTGATTATTATTGTATTTTTCAAGTATTTTACTAATAGATCAATAATTATTTTCTAAATATTTCTAATATAGTCAATAAATAAGAAATAATAAAATGGCGAAAACACTGATAATTGTTTTGTTGGACAAAAGTGGATCTATGGCTACAAAGAAAAGTGATGTCATCGGAGGGTTTAATACGTTTTTAAATAATCAGCAAAAAGTGGTGACCGATGCGGCAAAAATGTATTTATTAACATTCAACACTATTGTTACTATTGTTGAAAATGGCGTACCATTGGAATCGGTTCCGGAACTGACGGAAACCAACTATACACCGGGCGGTGGAACAGCACTGTATGACGCCATTGCCGAAGGCGTAAGAGTGGCCGATAACGATAAGACTGACGATGAAAGAGTTATTTGTCTGATTATGACTGATGGCGAAGAAAACTCATCGCGAGAGACAACCAAACAACAGGTTAGAGATATAATTACCGGACACGAGGCTAGAGGTGACTGGAGTTTCGTCTATATTGGCGAAGAACCCGATCGTTGGACAGGAGATATGAAAATGACTAGAATTGATGTACCCATTAGTCAACCAACTATTAACTATCTTAGACAAGACTATCCAAAAATAAATCATTGTTTAAACTTATCCATGTGTTCGTATAGCACATCCAATGTCATGCAATTCAATGCCCAGAACTATGATTTAAATTATATGACGGGCGATATGTTATGCTCTGAGCTCAGGTCATCCAATAGCAAACAGTTGTCCGATCTGTCGACAGTCACACCAAATGATACAAAGGAACAGTAAATTTCAATATTAATTAAATTTGTTTAACAATTAAAAATTGTCTATTGATTAATATAAAAAATTTAAACTAAATTATACTTTAATTATCTAATTACCAAAAAATTAAATTTATTTGACAATATTTAAATTTTATTTGAAAATAATTGACTTTATGCAATTTCTTATATTGTTAATATTAATTATAGTGTGCAAATTTCAATTTCAATTAATTAAATATCAAAATACACATTTTATTAAATTAGTATGAAAATTATTGTTTAAGTTAATAATAAATTTAAATGACTTAATATTAAAGTAATTATAATAAAATGTAAGGTGAATATCGTAAGTTACGATTCGTAACAATAGAGTAAAACATTAATATTGAAAATTACTAAATAATATAAACAATGTAATGTACTTATACTGTATAACATTTTGAATCAAATCATAAGATTTTCATTCAACCTTATAATAATAATAATAATTATTATTATTTAAATTATTTTATAATTAAAGTTTCTAACTTTTGTTAAATTGCTTATAATATTTAAATATTGTTATTAATTCATTTGATTTGATTATAATTATTATTTCTGTATTGTAACGATTGTAACTATTATTTGTACTTAAAATATTAAATGATTTTAACATAAAAATAAATAAGATTTATTTAATTGAAAAATTTACTAATTTGTTTAATATTATTCAGTATATATAATACATTTGATTTATTTGAACGTAACTTAAAATGCATTACAGAATCATAAAATAGTTGAGATATTAATCAGTGTTACAATTTGTAAGTTACAAACAACTCACTAATGATATATACAGTATTATACGATATATATACACAAGTATTGCATTATATATAGTAATACCGTATAATGTTATATAAAAATGTTTATATCGTATAATAAACGCATTAACTATTTCGTTGATCTAATGTAACATTTATACTGAACACTGGAATATATCGTATACACAGTGTATATCATAAAATTCAAAGTTTAAACACACAATCTATGTGTTAGTCATTTGAATTAAAAAATTAGTTAATTTAGTATTGATTATCATATATATAACAGTATAAGTGGTGACAATGACTCAGACACTGATAATTGTAATACTGGATGAAAGTGGAAGTATGTCGCCGAAGAAGACCGACGTTTTGGATGGTTTTAACACTTTTCTGGACGAACAGAAAAAGCTGTCGGATGAAGATGTGGCCACATTTTATTTGATCAAATTTAATACTATAACTAATGTGGTCTATAAGGGTATTGATGTTAAACTGGTGCCACAACTCAATGGCCTTAGCTATACACCGGGTGGTGGAACAGCTCTGTTCGATGCTATCGCAGAAGCCGTCAGTTTGGCAGACAAAGACAAAACTGAAGACCAAAGAGTTGTTTGTGTTATTATGACTGATGGAGAAGAAAATTCGTCGCGAGAGACAACTCTTCAACAGGTAAGAGATGTAATTACCGGATACGAGGCTAAAGGCGACTGGACTTTCCTCTATATCGGCCAAAATCCCGAACGTTGGACCCGAGAAACCGGTATGTCTTTCGGCAATGCCGTGGCCTATGATGACCGTAATGTCAAAAGTAATTTGAAACAAATGGCTTTCGGAGTCACGGAGTTTAGGCTTCAGAAATGTCAACAATTATTAAATGTTTATAAAAAGTAATTTCAATTAAATATAATTAGAAATTAAATTAAATTATAATAATGATATATAATTTAAAGTAATATATTATATAAAAATTTTATTTAAAAATAATATATAATAATGTATTTTATCTCTCTATTAAATACCACTCTATAACTTATCTATCTTAATAAAATTGTATTATTCACTGATGAAATATTGTACCGATATATCGTATTTATTTATTAAAAATTGTTACTAATATACAATAAGTAACGAAAAATCAATTCAATACATTTTTTAAAAATTATTTACTTGTGATTAAATTTGAATTAATTAGATTTCACTAAAGATTATAAGTTATAACTATTAAATTTTAACTTTAATAAAAATATAACTTTAATTTATTTTATTAATATTTGTATTACCGTAAGTATAATTATATAGAAATATAATAATTTATATAATAATATATAATAATTTATATAAAATGTATATAAAAATTATAAATTATTACTGACCTTGATACAATACATTTTAGTCGTATTACTTAATAACTAGTAATTTATGTAAAATTCTTAAAACATCATATATTTTTAACACATAATTTTAATTAAAAAAAATATTTAAAGATTATAAGTATATAAATGTTGTTTTTAAAGTATGAATATAATTAATTATAACAATGTTTTCACACATTTTCTATTCAAAAAACAATTTATAATAAAAACGAAATTTATTATAGTTTACAGTGAGAGTTGAAGTTTCAAATATAAAAAGATAAAGATTTTGAAAGGTTTTAATGACTTTATTGATAAACAAAAAAGATGTCCACAAAATGAAAAGTAATTTTATTAATTGATTGCATTTTTGTTTGTCATTTCTCAGGTAAAGGTTTACTATGTTTTCAAACAATGTGTTCAGTTAATAATATTTGTAATATTTTTGATATTTTCTTACAATTATTAAAACATTGAATATTGATATGATTTTTTAAATTAAAATAATATATCAGTTTTTTTCGTTGATAACTAGTCTAATGTACTATTTTCTGTTATCACTAACTGTGATAAATATAATATTTTTACAAATAATTATCTAAATTATTAATTTATTTAATACTGTAATATAATGTATAGCAATAAAGTATTAATTTTCTTATAGTCTTACAAAGATTTTTTATTACAATATTTTCTATATAGTTCTTACATTATTAATTATAAAAAAATTATTAAAATGGCTTAAAATTAACAATTTATTTAATTTACATAATGTTTTATAATAAATAAAATAATATGATATTCACTGTATCATTACTATAATATTAATTTATTTTATAACATTATATTATTATATACTGTATTTACGACTTAATATTTACTTAAGATAAACTCAATTATAATTAAATTGATACACAAATGTTGACCATATGTTGACCTTGATCAAATACTGCAATGCGGTATTACATAATATTTAAGTAGCATTTATGTAAACATAATGACATCAAATATTTCTAGTTATTTCCAAATAACTAAACAATTAAATATATCATAAAATATTTTATATTGACGTTATATTATAAATATAGAAATATATTATAATTTAATAGCGGTCTTAACGGTTTTATTGAAAAACAAAAATAAAACTTAAAAAAAGTGATCATGGTAGATTATATTTTATCAAATTTAATACTATCACCAATATTGTCTTCGATGGCATTAATATCAATGATGTATGTTATCTAAAGAATCGCGATTAAACACCAGGAGTTGGAACAGCTCTGTTTGATGCCATCGTTGAAGAAATACGAATGGATGACAAACACAAGACATGGGAAGAGAGGGTTATTTGTGTGATAATTACAGACGAAGAGGAAAATTCTTCCCGAGAGACAACCAAACGACAGGTCAAAGATAATATTGCTGAACGAGAGGCCAGAGGTGATTGAAATTTCATATATATTGGTGAAAATCCTGATCATTGGGCACAAGAAATAGGACTATCCGTTCATAATTGTTTGGCTTATTGTCGTCACTCTGAAGACATTCATTTTGAGTTCATTGATATCGGTGTATATTATCTGAGAAAATCATCCGCCGCTAAGATTAATAACCTTTTAATATAATTAATAAAAACAATTTTCAATTGATTATTCAATAATACTATTAATATATAAATACAAAATTTAAAAACATATAATAATATTAATAAAGCACAGAATAGTATTGTTTATTAATACAGTATATATCTTAATATTGAATACTATGTACTCATTGAATCTTAAATGTTGTTTATTTTACTATTTTATTAAGTCATTAAAATTGTATTAAAAATGTTTTTATCAAATATTTATGTTATATTTTAACAATAATTATTTTATTACTTGTAAACTATCAAAATTAATTGATTATATTTTTTATAAACTAATATTAATTTATATTGCTAGTTATTTTATTATAATAAATTTAATTAAATATTAAATTCTATTTAATTAGTTTTACTAATTAAGTGTTCACTATATTTATATTATAATTATAATAATAAAAGTTATGATACGGAAAATTATTAATTGATGTTTATAAAAAAAAGTTGTCAATCAATATAATATTGCTGACCATTGGCTCAGTCCAAGTGATTGATTGCTTAATATTAGACAACAAACACATATAAATCAGTTGTGATTACTGGCAATCAATATTTAATAAAATATTTAGTGCAGAAAAATTGTTATTTGAAGCGATTATAATTATCGGTTGGTCTGTCTATGGGTCAAACTTACATTAACAGTCATTGACCGGAAATTGAATAATTGTCACTATTATATAGTAATGACTGAAAACATTATTAAATAACATGTTAGCTATTATTTTATTGATTTTAGTAATGCAAACAAAAATTTTATTTTATTATAATAATGTTGCATTATTTTTAATATACTAAATAATTTAATCAATTCATAGGTTCACACACTGTATGCTTAATAAGTGCAAATGATAATTATGTTACATTGTGTCAAATGTTTATCTATTGTGTTGTAATAACTTATTACATTTTTTCCATAAAAATTTCCTAAAAATTACACTTTTTATGAAATAAAATATAGAAACATTAACACATTAAATAATTATAACTAAATATTATTAATAATATACTATTTTTTAAATGTTGTAACATTTAGAATTGCATTGCAAAAAAAAATCTCACATTTTATAAAAATTTATTTTTACATTATTTGTCATTAATTCAATAATATTTTATCATAAGGGATGGGTCACATATTACGTTCGCACTTGAGAGGGGTTGGCCAAATCGAACTTTTGCGAACGAGGGGGAGGGGTGGAGATTTTAAGAACGTTCGCATTTAGATAATATTTTATTTATTTTTGTAGTGGGGGGAGGGGGTTAGCGGTTAGGGATATGCGAACGTAATTTTTTTAAATTACTACATGCGA